AAATGGACTAAAAATCATGAAAAATGAACCAAAAATCATGAAATATGGTCCAAAGATCATGAAAAACGGGCCAGAAATCATGGAAAATGGTCCAAAAATCATGAAAAATGTGTCTTAAATAAAGAAAAATGGTCCAAAAATCACGAAAATAGTCCGAAAATCATGGAAAATGGACCAAAAATCATGAAAAATGGTTCAAAAATCATGAAAAATGATTTAAAAATTTCGAAAAATAATCCTAAAATCATGAGAAATGGACCAAAAGCACTATTTTCATGACTGTTGGACCATTTTTAATGATTTTTGGTCCATTTTTTCACCGTTTTCATCCCAAAACTCACATAAAATACTGCTCACTGCAATTCCATTTCAGCGTCTCCTCCTCTTGGAATTTCTCCGAATTCACCAATTTTTTCACAGTTGCCGCTTCAAATTTCGCTGGATGAAAGTTGGAAAATGCCGAGTCATCCTCATAAAAAAGTACATAGACTTTGCCAGTTTTTGGCGAATTCTGGACACGAGTGTGCTTCATTTTTGGCTGAAAATTCGGAAAAAATTGGCTGAAATTTTGAAAAAAAAGTGAAATATTATGAAATCCACTTTTTCTAAGGAAAGGAACGAATCGAAAAAAATCTGAAATTGTGAATTTTCAGAAAAATGGAAATCAGATGAAATTCAGAAAAAAAATAAAATTCAACAAAAAAAAATTTTTCGAAAAAAAAAACATTATTTTCTCTCATTTTTCCTCTATTTTAAAACCCAAAAAAAGAGAAGAGACGCAGAGAAAAAGAAACGGAAAAAGACATAAATATGTCAACAGCACCGTGGTTTTTGGTGTTGGTTTCGAAATTTTTGTTGACAATTTTTTTTTGAAATTTAAAAAAAAAATTTTTTTTTGATAAGACACAAATTTGAGTGAATAATAAAAATATGAAACAAATAGAATATTGATAACTCAAAAATTGAAAAATCATGAGAACAATTTTTTTTCCGGAACAGAACGATTTGGAGATTTTCGAATTCTGAATTTCTGAATTTCTGAATTT